AATTAGCCACTAATTAACCCGATTAACCCTTAATTAACCCCTGATTAACCCCTAATTAATCCTTAAATAACCCTCGATTAATCCCTGATTAATCCTTATTTAACCCTTGATTAACCCCAGATTAATCCTTAATTAACCCCAAATTAACCCTTAATTAGCTCAAATTACCCCTGATTAACCCTTAATTAACCCTTCATTAACCCCTGATGACACACTGATTAACCCTTAATTAACGCTTCATTAACCCCTGATGACACACTGATTAACCCTTAATTAACCCTAATCCTTAATGAACCCCCGATTACCCCTTCAATCATCCAATTAACCTCTAATTAACCTCATTAATTAATTAACCTGATTAATTTGGGGTTCCTGGATGGAATTTTGGGTTCCTGGATGGAATTTTGGGTTCCTGAGTGGAATTTTGGGGTTCCTCGGTGGAATTTTGGGGTTACTGGGTGGAATTTTGGGGTTCCTGAGTGGAATTTTGGGTTCCTGGATGGAATTTTGGGTTCCTGGATGGAATTTTGGGTTCCTGAGTGGAATTTTGGGTTCCTGGATGGAATTTTGGGGTTCCTGGATGGAATTTTGGGGTTCCTGGGTGGAATTTTGGGTTCCTTGGTGGAATTTTGGGTTCCTGGATGGAATTTTGGGTTCCTGGATGGAATTTTGGGGTTCCTGGATGGAGTTTTGGGTTCCTGAGTGGAACTTTGGGTTCCTGGATGGAATTTTGGGGTTCCTGAGTGGAATTTTGGGGTCCTGGATGGAATTTTGGGGTTCCTGAGTGGAATTTTGGGGTCCTGGGTGGAATTTTGGGTTCCTCGGTGGAATTTTGAGGTTCCTGGATGGAATTTTGGTTTCCTGGGAGCTGCTGGTGGCTCTGGGGTTCTCCTGGTGGGTCGGGGTCTCCACCATGGGAACCTACTTGGCCCGGAGCTCCTCCATGGCCTCAGCCACACGGTCGCTGTGGAGGTTGCCCTGGCGTTGGAGGCTCTCGCCGGCCTGCAGGACCAGCTGGACCTTCTGCAGGTTCAGCTCCAGCGTGGTGGTGAAGTCCTTGTGCTTCTTCAGCGCCTTGGTCACCTCTTCCACCGTCTCCGGCAGCTCGGCGTGGGCCAGGGTGGCCTCCTGGGAGGGTTTGGTGGGGTTGGTGACCTCTGCCCTGCCCTTGGGGTGGTCACCTCAATGCCACGGGAGATCCACCAGGAGCTGCTGCCACCCATCTCCATCAACCAGGACCTTCCACCACCCAAATCCATCACCCAGGACCTTCCACCACGCAAATCCATCACCCAGGACCTTCTCTTAACCATTGTCCTCCTCACCAATCCATCATCTCCATCACCCAGGACCTTCTCCCACCATCATCCCCATCACCACCCA